ATTCATTCATTCATTCATTCATTCATTCATTCATTCATTCATTCATTCATTGATTCATTCATTGTACTTACAATTAGTCCACTGAGTTGGGTGGCCAATAAATTTAAATAAATAGATCAATAAATTTCAGTTTTTTGAGCTCTCTAAACAGACAGAAACCTGTGTCATTAGATCATGATGTAAACTTCACTTCTTTATCCGTTCTGCTGTTTACTGGCTCTAAATATTCACCTTTTGTCTGTAGATAATTCCTCTGAATCACTCCTTTAGACCTGAACCTTCCATTGGATTTTTCTTCCCTAGTTCTTGACCTACTTTCATCCCAGACTCCTGAGCCTTGTATTTATTTCTTCTTTGCTCCAATTTATGCGCTGCCATTCTGTCCTCTTTAATTTCCCTGGCCTGAAGCACCTTTTCCCCTATAAGATCTATCCAACCTTCTCCAGTGCAGCCAACAGCAGGGGAAATAACATCTGTTTGCCCTCCCAAGAAATACAGGATGCTGACAGTTGCCGAAGGCTTCATCCTCGCTGCTCTGCTCAAGACGTCCTTTAGCACTTCGCAATACTCAAATCATTTTATTGGGCATAAAACAAATTTTACAAAGGCCTGCTATACTAAATCAAATGAGTTTGCAAAAGCTGCTCTTTGCCAAGGTTTAAAATGGCAGTTTGCAGAATGAAATCTCTGAGCTGAATGCATAAATAAATAGAAATAGTCTTGCTTTTTCTTTTTTAGTGACTTGCAAAAATGGGATTTTCAATCACCAAACTAGATGTCAGCTCACAAAATAAGGGCTTTGGGAGAGATATATGGGACACATTCGCCTATTTCTGGTGTCAAATGGCTAGGGCTAATTATAAATATGACCACCAGCCCTGTTTGAATTACTGCTTTCATTCTTCAATTCCTAATGGCCCAGATAACCTCATTTGAATCCCCACCACCTGATTGCTCTGTGTCCTTGCTCTTGCAATTCCTTCTTTCTCTGTTGCTGCTGTTCCTCTTGCATGGTTCACTGGAGAGCCTGATTATTTTTAGCTGCGCTTCACCACTGCCCTGGGCCTCCAGACCGGTCTGTAGTACAATTCTGCAGAGTCAAAACCCATCTTCAGACTCCAGTCCAACTGATCCTTTTCCCAGCTTCACTAGTTCGCTTGCGATGAGAAGCAGAAAGGCAATGCGTGACGTTTCCAAAGATGGACCTCAGGAAAGGAGATTATAGCAAGTTAGGATAGAACATTTTCTTGAGATAGTGACCTCAGAGAATACTGCAAGGGCGCTTCTACTGATGTTACTGCCATCTTCTTCATCCATTGAGTGAGGGAAGTAGTGTGGCTTTAAGACAAGCACATTCCAGGGTGGAGACTGAAGTGGAAAATCTCAGTTCAGCTGTGAAGTGTGAAGGATTTGCTTTTTAAGCTGCTCATCGCTGTTCTCCCCACAAAATCAGGCCTTCCAATTTCAAATTAATGTTTTTAAATAAATCCAACAACAAAGCAACTCAAACAAAAGTCTGACAATTGTAATTTCTCCCAGCTTAACACGTCCTTTTTAGTTTTATTCCATGTTTTAACATAATTATTTTGAAATAACATACCATTCATATTTGTCATAGTAATATCCAAGTATTTTACTTTTTTCTCAAAACCAGTTTTCTCCATCAGTTCTACTGTATTTCATCTTCTAATTTCATATTTTTTGTTAACATACTTGTCTTTTGATTTTATTTATACAATTTATATAGCCGCCCATCTCACCAGCAATTATTAATCTGAAAGCCTACTAACATACCAAAGTCCTTTAATTCCCATTAATATTTATATTCCCTCTAATGGAGCTTTCAAAACTAACACCAAATCAGCTGCAAACGTCCTTGTCATTGTTGGGGAGAATCTCTGTGATAATGTTTTGCCAAGAGTGATGTTTTTGTTTCAGACAATACCTGTTTTGACAACTGATATACCGTTTAAACAATGGGATAAAGATATATCTAAATTTATATAGCAAGGGAAAAAACCACGAGTTAAATATAAAGTGCTACAAGATGCAAAGGAAAGAGGAGGACTGGGTTTACTAGATTTGAAATTATTTTACAGTTTGCTTGGTCTGGATGAAAGAGTGGGTGTTGCTGAGAAACAAGAGACTTTCAGAATTAGAAGATCATGACCTGAGGTTTGGATGGCATGGATATTTACGGTACAATAAAATTAAAATTAGTGTGGATTTCAAAAATCATTTTATTAGATGTGCCATATTAGAATAGGGAATAAATATAAACCCAGGTTGTGTCCAGAAGCACCTTTGTGGATCTCAGCTCAGGAAGTGTATCATAGAAGAGAAAAAGCAGGCAAAGACAAATAATTGACATATCAGGAATTATTGGAAAACCATCAAGGGGGATTAAAATTAAATCAAGAGAGCAATTAATAGCAGGAGGATATAAATGTCAATGGTTTTCCCATTTACAGTGATCAGAAAGATTCAAAATGGCCAAAAAGACTTATGGTAAGGAGCAAAGTAAGACAGAATTTGAAGTACAATTGTGCACTGATGATGAACATGTAATTGCTAAAATTACATTTTGTTGAAATCTGAAACAGGAAGAACAGGTTAAAGAATATATGATAAAGTGGGCTAAGGATAGATGGATCAATGGGAAAATGTGTGGTTAAAAGGGTTGAAATTTACATTATATTATGACCTTAAAGAGAATTTTTATAAAATAACATATCATTGGTACATGATGCTAGAGAAAGTATCTAGAATGTATAAAGGCACTTCAAATGTATGTTGGAAATGTGAACAACACAAAGGCACATTTTATCATGCTAGGTGGACATGTAAAAAAGCTAAAAAAATTTGGATTCAAATACAGATATTGATACAGAGGATTTTAAAGATTAATATTCAGTTGAAGCCAGAACTTTTCCTTTTAGGATTAATGGATACACAGATGGAAAGATTCTACACTACTCTCTATGGAGGAATGCTTGGTTGAATTGACAGACCTTGCTAAGGTGAACAAACTAACTTCTCTGATTAGAGAAAGGACAATATCTGCATTGATTGGTGACTGGAAACCTCTTACGGACTGTTTGCATCAAAATGAAAAAAATGAACTTGTGATTTATGGCTTTGATGATTAGACAGGATAGATTATAGAAAGAATGATTAGACAGGATAGATTATAGAAAGAATGATTAGACAGGATAGATTATAGAAAGAAGAGAATCATGATGTAGCTAGAGAGGGGTTAAAATATAATTGTATTTATAACTGCTGTGAAGAATATCAGAAGCTACTTTGTATCTTTTTTTCTTTCTATTTTTCTTTACTTTTTTCTTTTTATTTATCTTATTATCATATTTATATAGCCGTCCATCTCCCACAAGTGACTCTGGGCAGCATAAACAATGAAATGTTCTTGCACTTTTAGCTTTCTCCTTGACTTCTTCTTTTTCTTTTTTCTTCCTTACTTTATATTAGTTTGTATTAGTTTTTATCTTCCCTTTTAAAAGTTTTAATAAAAATTATATTAAAAAATAAAACAGCATTGAGTTCACACACTGTGCGCAGCTAGGATATGGTTTGCATGTTTCTGGCTTAGCACAATATAAATCCCAGCTGTTGTGGTTCATCAATTACATTGAGGACTTTGTGAACCTAGGTAGTTTGAATTTATTCATACAAAGAACTAATGGCTTTGCATAATGTATGAACTCAGCCATTCTCTTAAGATATTTTGGTCCTCTTTTCAGGAGCTGATGACATGAATGATCTAGCCTGAACACCTTTTGCTTTTCTCCTAGTGATGGAACGTGAGATAGGATGGGCTTAGTTAAGGAAGAGGTTACCCAAATATAAGTGTGGAAATTTTGCCCTTGGCTTGGTTCACACAACACAAGCCAAAATGTGGGTTTCTTCTTTGCGGCTGAATGTTTCTGAACCCAGCTAGTGGGGTTTGTAAACTCTGGTTTGGCATGTAAAACAGACAATGGTTGTTTAATAGAGTGAGATGAAAGAAACTCGTTCAGCATGCATGAATACAAGAATTTCTGCTTTTTCAAGGAGCCATGGTTAAAATAAAGCATTATTTAGTGGGATGCACAAATTCATTCCCAAGTATAACAGGCCAATTGTCTAACTTGATTCAGAAAGTCTCCTCAGTTCTTCCTGATATTCCACAGTTCAAGACTGTTTATTTAGCAGAAATTAACAAACTGGGAATTCTTTGGTCGGAACTGGCTTCTTCTCTTAATAACAAAAGGCCTCTTCAAAGCACCTAAAAACCTTCACTCTGTGCTTTTCCTAGTTTCCAGATTAAAGTCACTTTCATTTGTAAAGTGCTCAGAGGTTGCTAAGGTTCCTTGTCATCATTAGCAGCATCTAAGTTGGGGAAAATAAGTTCCATACAGGTTCCAGTGATGCACAGCAAAATTCAGTTTCTGTATTGTATTCCATGTATTTGTATTTTTGGTGTTGCCTGAAAATATAACAGTACTGTCAGGAAGGTAGATTTTTATTTTTATTTATTATTATTATTTTTTTGAGGAGGGAAGAGGTAAAGGTGCTTAATTCTGACTACCAATTATGGATTTCTCACATTTATCAAACATTTGTATATTGCTGCAATTATAAATGACTCTTGGCTGTTCACGTAGAAAAAATACAACACGAAACAAACCCAATACAAAAATAAAAACACAACAACACACTTATAAAACAGAAAGGCTTGATTTACACAGGATAATAAACTACACCTGACCTATGATTTATTGAAGACTGCCTAGGTTTCCACAAC